CAAATGAAAATACTGATATTGATCTGAGCTGAACGTGGAACATATCCCACCCCCAAAAGGGCAAACAGCTGATCTGCAGATGGGTTCAGCACGGCTGGTAACATGGAAGTGCAAACCACATCAACCCCAGCCGTCTGAGGGTTAAGCACATCCCAAATGCAGATTAGAAAGTACAAAGGCCGACAACTGGGAACTTGTGTGAAGTTCAGCGCAGCTCTGGATGTCTGTTCACACAGTGCAGAGGGTCTCCAGACCATGCCCATCTTCACAGCTCCCTGCACTGAACTGCTCCGAGTTCTGCCGTGGCCACCAGCAGAAGAGTTTTCCACATTCAGCAGTTGCCAGAAGGGGTGAGAGCACAAGCAGTGCCCTGGGGGAACACAGGCTGCAGGAGAGCTGAGCTGTCAGCAGGGCTGAGCTGCTCTCCCTGTGCCCCAAACAGCAGCTCTAAGATAGGATGCCAGCCCCTGTGTTTGCAGAGGGCTCAGGCCCTGCTGGCCTGCAGGTTCACTCCAGACTGCCCCTGGCTGGCTCTGACCACAGCAGGGTCACACCGCAGGGCTGGGAGGTGAGGGCTGCCTCACCCCCAGCAATTCACCGGCAGGCTGCAGGAACACTCTGTACCACGGCTCTGCACGGCTCAGACACATCACACAAAGCAGGGAATCAGAAAACTAACAAGCACAGCAGCACATATTGAGGCATGCACTCTCTTTTTTAACCTAGACCTTTGTTGGTTTTAATAATTGATATAAAGTAACAGATGACTCACTAATTGCACTTCTAAATTGTAACCCAACCTGGAATCAATCACACATGGCATAACTTCTGTTCTTATTTGAAGCTAAATCCACCACAGTGCCTGCTGTAGCCTCTCTAATAATTGCATTAGTCATAACCTGAAAGTATTTCCCATTTCCTTGCTTCCAGTTTTGCTTGCTTTCCAAGCTCATCCTCGTCCCTATCGTTAAAGAGATCTCTGAAATGTCCCCCCACAGCGCCTCCTCTGGGGCTGGGAGAGCCCTGTGTGACATTCCCTGGTGTGATTCCTCCTCTCCCAGGCTCTGATTTTCCTCTGGTACCATTTTATCTCCTTTGCTCAAGTCACACAATCAGCCAGGACTGTATCAGATACTAGCGAGCCCTGTGTAAAACTCTCGCTAATGAGTTACGTACACAAGTGAGTGCCAGATTTACCCATGTCAGCTTTTGTTTTGCAGCACTAATTCTCAATTTTTAAGTACCCTCTACACTTGATACTCCCCTGCTTGACTCTCTCACTTCTGTGCCCGAGATACACCTTAAAAATAAAAGTGAATTAATATCTTGTAAGCATTTTTCAGAATAAAACTCTTTGCCCTATCAATGCCCAGATTAACCACCTACAAGTCCTGGGCCAAACAGAAACAAAGGCAGAATGAACTGAAAGAAACCAACAACAGCTGGGAACAAATACACACAAACCAAGGCAAATTCCAACACCTAGGAATGATGCAAAGTCAAGTAAGTTCCTTTACAAATTCTCCAATTATTAGTTCATTTTAAGTCCTCCTCAAGCTTATGAGACTTAATTTCCCATGCAAAGCCAGCTTTTTCTATGGAGATTTTTAAAATACATGCTCATACAGTTATTTTTTTCCAATTCAAAGTCTGTCCTCAGCTATCTGTGCACAAATCCCATTAACTCCAGTGCATGTCTAAAGGCAGAATTCGAAACCCGTGAAGAACTGGGTCACTGGACAATGGTGAGTCTCAAGCAGAGATTTCTGAGTTATCACAAGGAAAAGATCCCTCTTCCCTCGGGCACTACGAGAGCATTCCCACTTGTCTGTAAACAATGCCAACCACTTGAAATGTGATCGGCTGCATTTCATCCTTGCTCACTTGGGTTTCCATTCCCGCTGCTCACAGCCATTCAGTCCTCACCGTGCTGTTTGCAGCTGCCGCCTCATCACCCGTGCCCACCTCACTGCAGGGCAGCACAGCTCCTGGAAAGGCTCCCTCTGCTCCTGGGGGTTACCTGGTGCCCACGACAACTCTTTCACATGCTGGCCATTTACACCAGCTCCTGCCTGGCCTCTGCCTTTTATTTAACAAATAATCAAATTGCTTTATCACACCGATCTAACACGGCACAATCAGGCTGGAGATCTACAAGCAGGAAAATCAGTTCAGGGAAAGAAGGGGTTTTTTACAAAATAATTCTACATTTCACGTGTCAGTAAACATCAGTGAAATAACAGTTCAGCCACCAACTCCTGGTCTCTGCACTGACATCTCAGATCTGTTTTATCCCATTATATACATCCTATAGTTCTTAAATCAGACCAGCCTGACCATCTCCAGTTAGGAGACACAAAGAGACAGGACAGGGCACTGTGCAGTATTCAGAATTTGACTGTGAATTCCCTTTTCACACTCACACCTCTGCAGCCCCTCATTTGTCCAAGGGATGCAGGTAACACTCAAGAATACGTGGCAATGTCTTAACTATCTCTGTGAAAGAATCTGCAGGAAACACACATTATTTTCATCACAGCTATATATTTTAAAAAGTAATTCTTTCTATGCCAGTATTTTTACCAAGAAAGAGCATGATTATTGTTAATTACTTGAACTTTCATCAAGGTATCTCTAATTTCATGGTGCTTTTGGCACAATTCAATCCCCATCTCTTATTGACTACACTTACAGCTATAAATTCAATTTTCTCCTTTTTATTCCATGAAGCCTAAAGACAGATGCTAACTTTCTTCCAAACCTCAGATGTTCTTTTCCTTGTTAAATTTATATCCTTGTACTGCAGCGCCAAAGCTCTTTCAATCCCCTGTATTCTAAATTAATCCATCAATCCCCTTTCCTCTGTGTTTTTGCCCTTAGCAAATCATTAGCCCAAGGGAGAACTCAACAGAAAAATTCAAGATTTCACTCAGACCACAGCTGAAAACATCTTTCTTTTACCTCTGCAATAACTTCACTACCTGAGGTGCCACCTCTTGCAGGTTTTCCCTCCTCACCACATCTCCTGCTGTGCTGCCACTCATTTCACAGCTGCCCCTTCCCATCCCACCATCTCCCCCAGCTGCCTTCCTGGGGGCTGTATTTGTGCTGTGTTTCTATTTCCTGTAACTCATTTCAAATGAAAACATTCTCATGTGAAGTCCTTGGACAAGTCCTTGATTTCTATCTATTATCTTCTGTCTCTTTTCAAGGCCCACACTGGTATTCTAAGGTCACTCAGGAGATTTTGGCTAAACTCACTCATTGCTTTGAAATCTCTCAATTCGAGACATGAAAGCAGTAACATATTCCTCCTATTTGTTTCTCCTTTCAATCCTCAAACACGATGAGATAAAAGTCTGTTACAAAGGCAGAGTTATTCTGAGTGTTCAGAACCAGGGTGACACTTCAGCCACAGCCTTGCAAAGGAGTACACAAAATATAAGTTTAATTGGAACAAGCTGGCCCTCTTACTGCATGTAAAGTTATTAATGCACACGTGCTTTTCCTTCCACTCTAATGCTGAAATCACTTCCATTTTTGAATGAAAGTTACTGTTTCACTTCAGCACCGCAAATCTCCTGATCCCACAGCCTTTGGCCAAAGTTCCCTCTCAGGCTGCTCCAGCGCAGCACGTTGTGTGCTGATTATTTGGGAACAGAGCTCCCCAGTCAGCAGTCTTTCATCTTCACAGCCTATGTAAAATCAGTTTTGAAAGGTGTAAAAAGTGATACCAGGCACGATTGCTACGCGCTCGAACGCTGAGAGCTGGGTTTGAAAAGGCACTTAACCTGGAGAACCTGGCAGAAATTCTCACACACTCGCTTGAATTTATTGGCCATTTGAGTGTGGAAGCACATGGAATGTTGAAGGGATACGAAGTTCCCTGAAGGTTTTAGGGAATGCACACCCAAAGAAGAAATAACACACCAGACTCATTGCTTCCTCCTCATACCTAAAGGTTTGGCCTTGCCAGGGCTGCTCTGGAGCCTGATGAGCATCAGTGCTGGGAGCTCCTCAACTCCACAGCCACGTTCTGGGATTGGGAAGAACTGTCCCAGGGAGAGGAAAGCTTTCTTGAACCCACCTTTCTTGATCTCCAGGAGAGACAGATGGAGATCACGGAACCCCACATCACTTGTGCAGCCCGACCTGCCCGAGCACACCCCAAAGCTGCCTTGATTTCACCTGCTCAGACAACGGCTGAGGGTTCCACACTGCAAAACCGCCCCCATGGAAACGCTGTTCCTGGGCTCAGCTGGGGAACCCGCTCCCTCTGCGCCGCTTTGGGTGCCAAACCCACCGGGGCCGAGCGCGGTGTGAGGGGCCGCGGCCCTGCCCCTCTCACCCTGGTCCCTCTCCTCGGCGCTGCCCCGGCCCAGCCCGGGCCCCCTCAGCCTCCGGGCCCCCTCAGCCTCCGGGCCCCCTCAGCCTCCGGGCCCCCCCGGCCGGCGAGGCGGGGCAGCCGGCGCTGTTGGCACCCCGGGCCGTGCCGGTGCCGCCGCCCGGTGCCGAGCGGGGCCGGCCCTGCCCTCACACACCTGCCCGCCCTCCGCCTGCGCTCCCTGCGCCCGCCACGCTCGCTCTACGCCGTTTGCGCAGCGGGCGCCCTCAGGTGCGGCGGCCGCGCTGACGGCACTACGGAGAGTCTGTAACACACACCGACCTCCCCGGGGGCTCCGCGCAAGGGGCGCTCCCAGGTGCGGCCCGCGGGGCGCTCGGGGCGGCGGCGGGGGCGGCGGGAGAGGGAGTGCGGTGGGCGGAGGGCCGGGCCGGGCCGCCCTGGGGCAGGCGCGGGGGCCGGGCGGGCCCGGCGGGCGCTGCGCCGTTGGCGCGGCCCGTACGCCGCTGGCGCAGGGCGCGCTCAGGTGCAGGGAAGGGGCGGGCGCCGTTGCCCGGCAGCCGCAGCCTATGGGGGCGCGGGGCGCGGTCACGTGCGCAGCCCCGCTCGGCGCTGCGGAGCCGGAGGAGCCGGACGGGGCCGCGCAGCCGGGACGGGGCCGCGCCGGGGCCGGGGGGCAGCGCCGGGGCCGCCGCCGAGCGGGGTGAGGCGGGCGGGCGGCGGGGAGGGGTCGGGGCGGCGGGGCGGCCGTGCCCGGGCACCGCTCCTCCCACTGCACCGGGCACTGCGGGCAGCGGGCAAGGGCAGGACGCGGCGGGGGAGCGGGGGGCGCTGCTGCGCGCGCGGGGGGCCGGGGGGGGCTGCGCGGGGCGCGGGTGGCGGAGGGGCGAGGGCTCGGCGGCACCGGGCGCGTTACCGGTGCGGGAGGGGGGGAGGGGGGGATGTACCTGTGCGGGGCCGCGTTACCTGTGCGGGGCCGCGTTACCTGTGCGGGGCCGCGTTACCTGTTCCAGGGCGCGCAGCGGCGGCGGGGCCGGGGCGGTGTTCTGGGCGCTGTCCCTGGGCTGTCGCCGGCTCCAGGTGCGGTGCGGACGGGGATGCTCCGGCACTGCATTCTCCCCCCGGGCCCCTTGCAGGTTCCCGGCGTTGGGGACCCCCGGCTGTGTTTTGGTTCATGGTTTGTTTGGGTCTTTTCCCTCGTTCATTCCGCGTTCGCCGTGCACTGGATTTTGGTAATCATTAACCTGCTATTTCTTTCTGGAAGTGCGAGTGTCAAAGGGATGTCCAGGGACTGACACGGGGGCTCCTGAGCAGAGCAGAACTCGAGTTTTGAGTCAAAGTAGAAATATGCATTATCTGGCTAAATGTCTTATTATTTATTTACATGGGTCTGAAAATGGTGCCATGTGATTTACAGAAAGAAGAGAGCGAACATTCCAAACAGCTCCTGCACAGGGCATGGCAGAATAGAAAATTTGTAACATGGGGGGGTCCTGGATGTTTCTGAATTACTTTTTTTCATTATCTGTGTCCTATAGTTCATTAACAATTTTTAAAAGTTTTATCATACTTTGTCCTGGAAACTCATAAATGCTAAGTGTGGTTGAAGTGGAGACAGACTTAAGTGGGGATTCTTGTGAGGAACATCAGGTATTTCAGATCTCCAGTTCCAAAAAATGTCTGTGAAACTGTAAGTTAATTAAAATAGCTGGGCTATTTAACTTGATTTAAAATAGCTGGGTGTTCTAACAAGCATTTGAAGCCTGGCCTTGTAGGGTAAAGGCAGAAAATGAAAATAGCTCCATTCATGCACAATACTTTCTAACATCCTTAGAAAGAACAGAGAAGGAAGGACTATTTGCAAACCTTGGTTTTCTTTGATTTTTAAAGACATGGTAACCATTTCTGAGACCCAAAGGAAGCAGCACTGGAGGCAGAGAGGAAGGAAGGAAGGAAGGAAGGAGGATGGAGCAGTGCTGTCTGTACTTGGAGGAGAGGCCATAAAAGCTTTTGGAATGGGAAGGGAGGAAGGCCTGGGGGTGTCTCTGGAGAGGCTGCAGTGTCTGTCCCTGCGTGGGCACAAGGCTGTGTCTCGCAGTGGGATTTCCAAGAATTTAAACAGCCACCTCTTCAGTGGCCCATCAGAAAGGTGGAATAGCTGGATGTGTTATTTCCTGCGTGTGCAGAGAGGAAGGAGAAATCCGTGTCAGCAGGCTGGGGCTGGCTGTAGCTCCTACTAAATTCCTGGTCGTTTTTAGGAAGTTGGACTTGCCTGTGGAAGTTCTTGGCATGTTGCATTTTCTTCTCTCTGAAACTTTCCAGTCGTTTTCCTTTGCTTGGTGTTGGTGCAGAGTGAAGGGAGAGCTGTGGAGAAGAGTGGGTAAGGATTGCTAAAGGGCCAGGGTTTCGTGTTTTCAGTTCTCTGTTTCTCAGATCCCGTCGTGGTTGGTGCCACTCTGGTGCTGCTCTGGCATTTCTAGTTCAAACAGAATCTTTAGTCTTGCTGATTTTGTCAGTCCTGATTTTATAAAGGGGTTTTATTTGCTTGGGCTCTTCATCCAGCCTAGTTGTTATTACTGAACTATTGGCAGTATTGACATCTCTGCACAAAGATGGTGCTGATGAAGTGCCAGTTCTTGCTCCGTGTGGTTGACAGGCTAAACAGGGGGTGGAAGTCTGGGACTTAACACCTTGGGAAAGGGGAGAAAGATTCCATCTAGAAACGCTTATGCTGGGGGCTGGAGGAGCCCCAGGGGTAACTCTTGGGAATGGTGCTGAAGAAGCGACCAAATCCAGCCTTGTGGTTTGTCCTGAAGGAATTTCAGACGTGACTGATTCCATAGCAGAGGTTCAGAAGCAGGAGAAGGAGAGTAAGCAAATGGAAGGTACAGCAGAAGATGGCATAAGGCAGGCTATGCCAGGCCTGAACATTAGAGAAACAGTTTGAACTCCAGGGGATGTGGGGATTTTGGTGACCCTTGTTTCTGACCTGTAAGCAGCTTTTCCCTGGATGTTCATTCAGTAACGTGATGCTTGAGGTCACAGAGCTCTCTTTTGAAGCCCCTCAAAGGCCTGGGGTGGACTGAGATTTTTTTGGGTTTGAACTGTGAAATCTTGTTTGGAAATAAAAAAAAATGTTTAAAAAAAAGTAGTCAAAGGAGCTGCTTCATGTTGTGAAAAACCTCACTGTAGAATCATAAAAGCTGCAGTTTTTCCACGTTGCTTTGGAAGCAGCTGAACTTTGTAACTTGGCATGTAAATAGGGCTCTTTGAAGAGCACATCCATGGCTGGAAGGAGGGGAGAGGGAAAGGCTCTGGCTGGAGAACAAGCTTCTGAGTGTGTGAAAAGCCACGGTGAGCATGTTTGAGTATGAACACAGGGAACAGAGGTTTGTCCTGGGCTGGGGTGATGCACAGACACCTAGCAGGGGCCAGGCTGTGTAAGTGTGAATGTGGAACAGTGAAACTGTGCTGGTGGTGCATTTTCCAGACTGGGCTGGGTGAGGGGGAGCTCTGGGGGCAGGTGGGGTCAGGTACCTGGGAGGTTTTGGTGGCTGAGGAGGTGCTGGGTGAGGGTGCAGAGGGTCAGTCAGCACCTCCCTGAGCTCCCTTCCAGCTCCTGGGGAGCCTGCAGTTATGGTGTCTCTCACCATGCCAACAGCAGAGCTCAGCATGGCATTTTGGGGTCTGTACCTCACTTTATGGGGTTGGGGGAGGGAGGACTTCTCCAACAACACCCACATGAGGAGCACTTGGCTGGTGTAGTGTCCTGGATTCGCTGTAACCCAGCAGGGTTGGCAAGTGAAGATTGCGCTGCTGAGCGTGCTGCAGGCAGGAAACCAAAAGGAAAATTCCTGTTTAAAGCAACGGGAAAAACTGATACAGATTGAAAGAGCAGAAGGATTTAAGTCTCAAACCTTTCAGTGGAAACCAGAGTTTGGGTACGTTTGTTGCACTCGCAGCGTGATTTGACAAACAGAAACTTTGTACTTGATGTTTAAGGAAGCAGAAGCCTGAGCTGCCCTACCTGATATTGGCTGATAATCTTTTGTTAAAAGCAATAATTGATACAAGCTACAAGGCCAGAGACAATATTTTTTCAGTTGTACTTCTGCAGTTCTTGGCAGTAGTTTGTAGTTTTTCCTTCTGATGTGCAAGTGTTTCACTGAGGACAGAGAACAGTCCCAGTCCGTGTCTGTTCAGCTCACAGAGGGACAGTGTTCCTACTGAACTTCTCTGAAAAGCTCAGTTCATGTCCCTTAACAAAAAACCTGCCCAGGAATCCTTACGAATTATAGCAGTGAGTAAACATGCTGCTCTTTGGATTTTGGGCTTTATTCTGCACTAAATTACCTTTATGTTTCTGGTGGTGGAATGGGAAAGGATGGAGAACCCCTGGCTGTGCTGGGCTGTTCACTCGTGCTCCCAGCTCTGCCTTGCAGTGCCCACCCTGAGCTTCCCTGGGTGGTGCCAGGCTGGGCAGAGGTGCTGGCTGCAGGAGGGAACACACCCGGGATGTCACTTGTTCTGCTCTGGGGGAGGATGGAAAGCACAGTCCTGGGCTGTTCTGTCCCTCTGCTCAGCCAAGAACTCGGGGACTAAGCCAAGGGGGGATTTTCTGGCCACCTGCACATTGGTCCGTTGGCTTCTCAAGTGCTGAAGGATTAATTCATGTCCTTGTTTTACACTGTTGGTTTTTCTAGAACTATGCACAACTTTGTAGCAAAATACTGTCCTAACGTGCTGGCAAATTAAAGGTGTAAATGAATGTTGAAGAGGAATAATCTGATGAAATCCATTTTAGGGGATCTCTTGGATTGTGGAAACTTAAGTGATCCTGCCACATGGGTTGACTTACATTAGTTCCCTTATGTTGTGGTTTGGCATGGTGTTTAAGAGCCTTAAGATGCTAGTGGTGATTGACATAACAAAATGTAAATTACATGCTGTTTTTCCTGAGGTCTAATTTATCTGTCCTAAGGTTTGTGTGCCAATAGTACTGAGCTCTTCTTACAGTAATGTTTCTCTTTCATGTAATGCCTACACAGGGGAATTAAATTACTCTTAATTGTATGCTGAAAAAGAAAATAAAATTGGGGTATGTATGGCTATCCCTGTAAATTAAATTTTGCAGCTTCTTGTTCTTTTTGTGCATTTACTTTGTATTGAAAAGTCTGGCTGGGAAGAACAGTCTTTCTTGTGGGTAGCCATGAGATGTCACAGAACTTGAAGAAATATTATAAACCAGAGTTGATTAAGATTTTAGACCTTAAACTTTGAAGTGAAACAGTGATTGATGCAGAACTTGGCACCTGGCTTGACAATAAATGAACTCAATGGTGAGAAACTGGTGCTGCTTCATAAAAATTGCCCCCCATTGGAGCAGAAAAGGGCAGGCTGAGTTTAGGGCCTTTCCTTCTCTCTTTTTCCTTTGATTCTTGGGAGGGGAGACACTTTGGCTGAACACATTCCTTGTTTGACTTGTCACACAGCAGATTGGAGTGCTGGCACAGAGTCTCGAGTGTTGGGCCCTCAGGAGTCTTTAGTGTTCCCTGAGACACAGGGATGATGTTCCATGGGGAAATGTTTCTCCTGAGCCATTGGACTGGGTGGAGAATGGGATTAGGGAGGATTTTGTTGGGGTCAATCTCAATGGGCAGCACTGCCCTCTGGAAAGGCAGCAGCAGCCCCAGGTGTGTGGGA